TTAATATTTTGTGTTCACTCATGATGGAGGAAATAAAAGTCGATATAAGTGTTTATAAATATTCTTAAAAATATACATAAAAACATAGCCTCGTGGCTGAAACTAAAAACATAAAGAATATACGGCACATAAAAATACGGTGCCGATATAACTACAACTTAAAGATGGTGTCATAAAAACTTAACACCCCAACTTGACAACATATTATTTTAAAGTCCAAATAAAAAATCTTTAAACTTTTGTAATGAATCTTTCTTTGCTGGTTTAGTAAAAATATCAGCATAATTTTCATTTGATTGTATATACTCTAATAGTATACGACCTTGTTGATGATATTCTCGTATAAAATGATAACGTATGTCTATATGTTTAGATTTCATATGTTTTATAGGATTTTTCGCTAATGCAATGGCTCCTTGGTTATCGTTTCTAAGGGTTACTGGTTCGATTTTTACTTCTAATAATTCTCGTAATAGTTTTGCTAAATAACTAATTTCTTGGCAAGCTGCAGATATCGACATATATTCTGCTTCACAGGTGGACAGTGCAACACTCGATTGTTTCTTTGATTTCCAACTAACGACTGGTCCATCTGTACACAGAGAAAAACAGTAACCTGATATACTATGTCGATCTTCTAAAGATGAAGCCCAATCTGCATCACAGAAAGCATAAAGCTTTAACTCATCAGTCTTTCGAAAAGTTAAACAATAGTTTAGAGTATGTTTAATATATCGAAATACATGTTTAATCATAATCCAATCACCACTATTTGGTTTTGATAGATGCTGAGATAATTTGGTAATAACATAGCTTAAATCTGGTCTTGTACATGTCATTGCGTAAAGAAGACTTCCAACCATTTGTCGGTATAACTTTATCTCTGAATCATTCGATTTTATAGATTCTTGATTATGGTATGAATAAGGAACTTGCTCACATGGGGTAGATCTTGGTTTGCAATTGTCAAAACCGAATTTTTGTAGAACATTCTGCAAGTAATCTGATTGATTCATAGTGACACAATTACTAGTTGATTTGAATTGAATACCAAGAAATGAAGTTAATGGTCCCAAATCTTTCATTTTAAATCGTTTACTTAATTTCTTCTTAATTTTAATTAATAGTTCGTTTGAGTTGGCAGCTATAATTATGTCATCAACCCATACTAGAATCATTGCTACTTCAGTATTGCTTCTTCTAATAAAAACGCAATTATCAGCATTTGATTGAATAAATTGTATTTCCTTGAGAAAGTCACTTAAAACATTCTGCCAATTTCTACCACTTTGTTTTAAACCATAAAGTGATTTATTTAATTTCCATACTAATTGTTTGTTATTGTGGGTTTTTTCATACCCAGGAGGTTGGTTGACATAAATTTCATGTTCTATAGGTGCATGTAGATAAGCACTTTTAACATCCATTTGATGTAAAATGAGGTTATATTGGGCAGATATTTGCATTAAAATTCGGACTGATTCCATTCTAGCTGTGGGTGAAAAAGTTTCTAAATAATCAATTCCTTGAATTTGGTTGTACCCCTTTGCAACATATCTGGCTTTGTATATAATTTTATTATTGTTCCCTTTAATTGTACAGATCCATCTTCCCCCAACTACTTTTTTATTTGCT